CACATTCCACCTACTATTAGTGTGCACAAAAGTACCCGGATGATGCACGCAATGAAATTGTCATGCGTATATAATTAACCCATGCGCGGCCATCATGGTGCAACAGAGAGATACTGTATAATGTACAATAAGAAATATGGCAACTTGATATCACTAATTTAAGGATTTGGCCTCATTGAAGAAAGTGATATTTAAGACAATTACATTTTGATTAGCATATAATAGTTGAATAATGTACCAGTACTTTAAAAACAAATTGTTTAAGCGGTTATTGAAAGCAAGGTTTGGATAAACATTTAATGAGATTAGCTGTAAAAAATATGACAAAACTCCTGCAACTGAGGGGACAGAGATATAAGATAATAGTGTTTACTTTTGAAGTCTTGATGGGCAATAAACATTGCGTGCAAATAAAAAGTGAACATTCCTTGTCAAAGAATTTTACCCGGAATTTAAAAACATGAAATGAAAACGCCAACCCCTCACATATGAGCTCAATGATTAATGGTTAATGTTTTCAACAAATAAAGTGCTAGACATCAAAGGTCATATAGCACTATGGAAGGCATGCGTTGTAAAGCTAAGAGGATAGAATATAGCCGTCTGTATAGAAATGGGTACTGGTGGAGCGACTGGTGATGTTTGTGAGGAAACGTGGGAACAGAAAGTGGGATTTTTTATTTGGGTGGATCTGAGAGGAAATTAACAGTCAGGGAGGGAAAGAAAGAGAGAGAAGGGATTGGGGATGAATGGACGATGGAAGTAGAGTTGGAGAAGGGATTAGGGGACAGTTAGCTTGGAGAGAAAAAAAATGATGAGAACGAACATAGCTTCTGACAGACAAAAGAGCATGACGCCGAGAAAAGGATTATTCAGAGGCTCTCAACTGGAGAGACGGCACCCTGGGCTAAACGAAGACCGCAATGGTGGATTGTGTCAAGATATGTGAGAAGGGAGAATATATATGACAGCCATAAAGAAGGGAGGAGAGGATTAGGGTAATATGGAGATGGAGGAATGTTTTGCAGTCCGAACCCGAGGATATATGTGAGAGTCTGTAAGAGCAGGAGGTGACTGCAGGCTCTTTCTTCAACAGAAAGGATGTGATCACGCCAAGAGTCAAAAATGACGCAAAGGACCTTCCCTGAATGGCGAAATTGGATGGGAGCATTATATAGTGGAGGTTGGGAGCCTATACGTGAACGAAAAAAAAAAGGTGGAAAAGGTTTTAGAGGTAGAAACTGGAAAGTCGTGGTTGGCAGCTAAAGAAGAGATTGGTGTTATTGCAGATTGGAAAATCTGATGGAGGTCAAGAATGGAAGGACTAGAGGCAAAGATTGCTAGATCATCTACGTGCAGTGATAACCGAATTCCTGGTGACAGAGCTGGAACTAATCCGTTTACAGCAAAGAGGAATAATGTGGTGCTGAGCACACTGCCTTGTGATACACCTACAAATTGAGGGAGAGAAGTTGACGAGGCACATCTGAGACGGAAGATAAGACCAGAAAGAAAGGACTTTATGAAAATACCCATGTTTCTGCATATGTCATGGTAACTCATGTCATTTATAGATCGATGACAGCCAATACTGATTCATGGTGTGCAAATGATGATGAGGTTTCGAAATAGGCAAGAGGATCAGCAGTGCTTCGATCGTGATGAAAACCAAACTGATTTGTGGAGATAAGGTTGTGATATTCTAGGTACCACATACGTCGGATGTTAACAATCCTTTCCAGTAGCTTGCATATGCAGCTTGTAATAAATATCTTGAGGAAGAGTACAGAGTTTGTTTGGTTTTAGGAATGGCAGTACAAGGGTTTCACGCCAGTGGCGAGGAAAGTCTCCGGTCGTCCATATGTTATTGAATATTGATAAGAGAAAGGACAAGGAGGTAAATGCAAGGTGTCGTAACATTCTGTAATGTATAGCGTCAGGGTCTTCGTGGGTGTTGCGGCATGACTAAAGCATGATAGATTTCAGAAGAAGAAAAGGGGGCATCATGGGATTCTGTAGAGGACACGGAGATGGGGATAGGAGTGTGCTCTTTGTCTAATTTTATGGAAGAGAAATGAGGAAAAAGGCGAGAAATTTGTGGCGGGTTGTGGAAGGTGTAGGCACCAAATTCAGTAGCAACTCGAGGAGATTCATAGATGAGACTGTTGTGGATATGGAGGACGGGGGCAGGATGAGGAGGATGTTTACCTGATAGTTTATGGATCTGCCGCCAGACTGCAGAGACAGGTGTAAATGAATTTATGGAAATGACTCAACTTCGCCAGCTGTTTGTGATGGACTTTCGTATTGCACGGCGAAGATGGGGTGATGCCTTTTTAAATAATCGACTGGGAGTGCCTCTTGTAACGGTATCTGCTAAAAGCTGCACGTTTTTGCTGAAACACTTTAGTGGATTCTAGTTTTCACCATGGAACACACTTGGAGGTGTAAGGTCAGGAGGTTTGGGGAATGGATATAGAGGTTGCATTTAGGATAATGGTTGTGAAGCAAGTCTGAAGTGGAAGAGAAGGATGAGGGAGGAAGGTCAAGGGGAGAGAGAGAGGTAAAGGTATGCCAGTCAGCTCTATCAAAGCTAGTGGGACATAGGAAGTACGAGAGAGAAAGATCGGAGTGTGATCACTAGGTGATTTAGAACTTACCAATGGAAGTCTAGACGAATGGAAGGAGAGCAACGAGAAAGATCAAGGCTTGAAATGGATTGGGTATGCATGTCAAAGTAAGTGGGACAGTTTGAATTTAGGAGGAAAAATCAGTATTTGAAAGTGTTCTAGGGAGTGTCCTCATGAAGTAATAGTGGAGTCATCCCCAGGTGTGTGGTCAGTTGGAATCACCGACTATGACGAATGGTGGATGAAATTGAGTAAGCAAAAATTCAAAAGCCTTAAAGGCAAGGGGAAAAGGGGGGAAAAGTAAATTGAAATAGTTGTGATGGGTTGCATGAAGATATGAGGTGACAAAAATCAGGTTTCACTGGAGAAGAGCCATTGTGGAGCAATCAACGGTTGATGAGGGTAGAGATGGTTGGCCACCTGGGGATTGAGGTAGGGGATCGAGGAGGTGAAGTATCAGGAGGTTCAAAGGTAAGGTGGGATCTGGGGAAGGGCATTGTAAAAAAAGGGATTTTACGTGTGTATCCAGGAGAGAGTGGAAGGGATAGTGGGGAAGGATAGAGGTTTGGTCTGGGTGGAGAGGATGAGGCATGTTGGGAAGGAGTAGAGGGGTAGGGGGAATATGAGGAGGGAGAGGATGGAGGTTGGCAGATGCATGTGCAATATTTTGGGACTATGAGGGGTTACAACCACATACCAGGAAGAATCATAAGCTGATGTTATCTGTCATAGAGCATATTCCATATCAAGAATTTAGTTACACACACACACAAAGAAAAAAAAAAGAAAAAAAGAAAAAAAAAATGGTGTGGAGAAAAAGATAATATTCATAATTATCAATAAAATTGAGTCCAATATTAATTTAAAAAAAAAAAAAATCACATACAACCTCTGTAACTATAACAACATAAAAATGGCTGCTGGGCCCAGATAAGACTCAACCATGTAATTTGACTGGATATCTCCACCAAGCAAGTTAAGACATTTATTAGCATGTACTTTGCCATACATTACATTTTATGGTTTTATGTATGACTTAATTTCTTTTGCTTATATTGTAGATGTTTTAGAAATGATCAAATATCTTTCTTAAATTTTCCAGTGTGAATGGGCTGTATCTCAAATAGTTTAGGGTTTACCATATAAATTCAACAGCCAATAATTCAGGGTGTACATCTGAAACAATAATCAATATTTTATTACATTTGGATTTGAAGAAATCTAAAACAATCACTATATCAGCATGGGTTAAGAGATTAGTTTATTATACAAATACAAAACAATTATATCCTTCAACAGTGTTTCATCACGTACAAAATTTCATATTATGAATTGAGTGTAAATGCATCAAAAAAAAAAAAAAAAAAAAAAAAAAAAAAAAAAAAACACTACTACTTAACAGCAGATATAATTTAGTTATACTGCTTGAACATAGAGATAATTTTTCTGTTAAAACAATTGGCAATATACCAATAGGATCTTTTAAAATAAACAACATTGATGAAACTTTGATCTAAAAACCTCAAGAGGAAAAACTAAAACACAATAATAAGTAGATACTATGAGTAAAGAATAGATTTAGTACTGATTTTATCCTTTATCCAATACTGTATACTTTTACTGCACTTCAAACTATATACTTTTTGAAAAAAAAAAAAAAAAAAAAAAAAAAAAAAAAAAAAAAAAAAATGCATTACAAGGTTTAGACGAGATTCATAATTTCCTTATCTCTACAGATTGAGGGATCCACTTCTCTTGGGGACGGAATAAATTTCATGGATATATCATGGACTTGTAAATTCAAGGAAGTAATTAATAAATCTAGATTCTGTTTATGGGAAAATTATCTTTGCTTACTCAAAAGAAGATCATGTGTGGAGCATATGATAATATTTAATAAAACTGAATACAAAAACTTTAAACTTCCCTCAACAAACACCAGTGGTTAACATACTGTAGCCTTTTTTTCTAATGATATAAGTAGGAAGGCACAATATTATCAGTGGAAACACTGACTAGCTTACTGAAGAAAGGACCTTTGGTAAGAACCAAGGAGGCTATCAATAGTGCATACTCATGATATTCCACTTTTTTATAATATATGTATATTAGATCTAGATAAAGCCACTAACAATATCTCCTGAGAATAAGCAATATGCTATACTATTTGTGGATACAAATGGCATAGCTTTTTGATTATAAACAAATATATCAATCAATGTGAAAGCAAGGAGAATATCTCCCCCCCTACCCATAGGCTATACTATTTGTGGATACAAATGGCATAGCTTTTTGATTATAAACAAATATATCAATCAATGTGAAAGCAAGGAGAGGATGAGAAGAAAGGAAAAAAAGACTTTTTATGTGCAAGATGTGGTGACTGCTTTTCTGCAGTCATTTAGAGTGTATTTCACCTGCATATCTCTAGGCATGTATGTATTTGATTATCATGCATTCTGAAACTAGCTTCTGACAGATTTTGTATTACAAGAAGCATTATAATTGATATAAACATACCAAAAAGTTCTTGGTTTCACAGACTGATAAACTAAAATAAAAAAGACAATACAAGTTTAAAGCAGTACATTAGATACAGTTGCTTGAGCAGCTTAAATGACTCTACTTACTAATTGCTAATTCTATATAATGTTATTGTGATTCTACATAAAGCAGCACCTATTACATTAAGGTATCTGCAACAATACAAAATATTTGTTCCTTAACTGTTTGATATAAAACATGACAAGAAACATCTATCAAATACTGATATATAACATATTATTAACACTATCATATACTTCTATAATCAATCAACAGATTTAACAAAAGGAATAAATTCTCTATTAAGTAAAGTACTAACAACTACTGTTATGACTGAAAATTTGGGATAAAAAAGGAAACATTTTCAGAAACTTTAAAATCTGATGTAAACAATTAACCTTTGTGCATTTATTATATCCTATATTTTGAGGAGATGGAAACACATAAACAGTGAGGCAACTGTCAAGTAAAGCACTCTATATCAAATAAGGAATATTGTATCATGAAATTGCATTTGTGCATCTGTGTGTTTGTGAGTGTGTGTGTGTGTGAGTGGGTGCGTGTGTGTGTGCACGTGCATGTGCATGTGCATGTGTGTGTGTGCGTATGTGTGTGTATAAATGAGAATGTGTGCATGTGTGCACATGTATACAAATACATACACATATATGTACATAAATACATATATATTCTATATGTGTGTCATATCATGACATCACTGACACCATAGGACCAGTGAATAAGAAACAGATGCACACTCTCATGGAGACACAGATGCTTTGTCTATACATGTGCAATGAATGAAGAACGAAGACAAAAAGCAGAAAAAGCCAGAAATAGACAGACTAACACTGTCTACTTCAGTACGGGAAGTGATACTTAAACCGAATCAGAAGGTGGAGTTTACACATATTTTTAATATATCTTAGTTGACAAAGCAAGTGGTTATTTGGTTATTGGTTATTTCTTTTTTTTACATAGGGAGTCAAAAATCATATAAGTGTTTGACTAGTTTAGGGTCATACATTCTATTTTCAGCTGATACAGACTTCCAGTGCTTTGTGAAGGCATTATTCAAAGAGCATTTACTTTTGTTATCTTGCAGTAGGCATATACTTTTGCATGTATTTGCATTTGATTGAAGGGTTCTGTAAGGGCATGATCAAGAAGTTACTTAACACATTGATGCTGGAAGAGTATGTATATAATTGCCATGATGACTGGGATTTCAGTCTTATCAATTTTGTTTACAAATAAATGGCTTAGTTAGTATTTAGTCACCATGAAGTCAGTTACTAGGCTAGGCCTATCTGATCTCGCCTGCTTACTTTTTTCCTTGATTTATGGAAGGTTTCATTTTCATTGCTATTAGTATTGTTAATAACATTTTAATAATGTTAATGTCAATGACAATAATAATACAGTAATATTATCAATATAAAAGAGAAATAGCAAAAAAAAAAAAAAAAAAAAAAAAAAAAAAAAAAAAAAAAAAAAAAAATATATATATATATATATATATATATATATATATATATATATATATATATATATATATATATATATATATATAGTTATCTGGTGAAGTGATTAGGCACTTTTGGCACCATCTATGAGTAAACAAAATTCACAAAAGGAAAACAGAGTGGACAGACAGTACATGTACCTGGCACCAATGGGTTAAATGTTATATTTAATACAGAAAATCTTTACTCTTATATTTTGCATCATATATCAATATATACCAATATCAATGTTCTTTCATAAAACAGTCTATAAGCTTGGCACTTAATAATGTGTTAACATTCCTAAAGAACCTAAAGGTTTCCATTTCTCACTGTAGAAGGAAATAGTATGGGCAGAATACAAAAAATCCTTCATATGAGATTTTAAAATAATTAATAAGTTAATTTATCTAATCTTTCAAATATAGATCTATCTGTGTACATATTATGTAGCTACGAAGCAGTTCTACAAAACATAACTCAGTATGTGTAATATGTACTATATTACAGGCTGAACCTCATCTGTCTGGGAAGTTTGGAACTAGTGAGAATTAGGATATAAAAATCAAAATGCATACACTGAAGCATATTACTGAAATATGAGGTCAAATATTGGTAATCCAAGACAATATAATAGCTTTAGCCACTGTAAGGCAGCCGTGATACATGTAAAAAAATATGGGGTGGTGCCAAAGCTGGCTGAGTGATGGTCATGCAAATTAATGGCTGCCAGATTGAAATCACTCCCCTATGCCATCAAAACTGCTGGACCAATGACTGCCTGACTTGTGAGGTTTAAAATTTACTTGACAACAGATATCAAAATATGGATTATGTATGACAGAACAAAAAGTTTTATAAAGTAAAACTGGCCAAAAATTCAGTCACAGACATCATAACCCACCACTGTGCAAATCAACAGTTCACTCTTCTTCACTGGAGCCAGAAGAGGAGGAAGACCCATGATGGAAGCCTTGGTGCATCATGTAACCTCCTCCAGCAAGGGCTCCCAAGCCAGCTAGTGGCACACCATATTTCATGGCTTTGCTCTGATAAACAAAGAGAAAACAGAGCATTACAATAAAATCTAAATTCCTCATTGTGCATATGAAAATCAAATACACCCTGCATACAATAATTTGACAAATATCCATTAATAACTTTTCTTCATATTCTATTTACAAGGAGTAAGTCAATCTAGATATACATACTGGCTTTGAGAGCATTTTGGCTCCTGCAAGAGCTCCTCCAACACCCAAGGCTTTGTTCAGAATTCCCCCACCATGGGAACCCCCATGGCCAGGGTATCCTCCACCTGGGTATCCTCCACCTGGGTATCCACCACCTGGGTATCCTCCTTTCGATTTCTGAAATTATGGTTTCTCTCTTAAAGGGCAATCAACTTATGAAAATTCATAACATGAAGAGGCATTATTTTTATATACCATAAGCTGCAGTTACCCAGAAATGCATACAAACTCACCCCAAGTAGATGTTTTGCTCCTAGGGCACCTGCAAGGGCTGTCCCTGCACCTGCTGCCATACCCAATAATCCTTTGCCACCACTGCCTCCTGAGCCATGTTGTTGGGGTGGCTGAGGGTAGGACGGTTTGGCACATTATAATCAGATGTCCTTAAAAATTTGTTAACATCAACATCTGGCTACATCAAAATGTGTAACAAAAACAGTACTGTATAATTACCTGAAGTGTGGACTATATAATGCCTGAGTATTCTCTATCAAGCTTATTTCATCTTTTATATAACAAAGATGTAACAACATTTAGTCTATGAAGCACTAAGACTAACTTTTTTTATTCTTAAAGGTTACACTTGTTCACAATTAAGTTACACTATCACACAAAATTTCAGAGGCAAAGTAAAGGCATCCCCCCCCCAAAAAAAAAAAAAAAAAATGCATAAAAAACTATACAACTAATCCATAAAATAACCCCAATTCCAGCTTTGCCACTGGCGGTCATTAATTTGGACAATAATGCTGCAATCTCGGCACTTGCATCTGCACTTCAAATTATTGTGTACTGGGAAGGTAGCAACTGATTTTGAGAAATGTAAAGGAAACCAGCTGTCAAAATTATCTGAATAGTCAAAAATAATGGGATCAATGATAAACACCTATTATAACTAGTAGTATTGCTGCTGCTACCTGTATACAACATCTGGCAATTCAGTTATTGATGACAATGCTTTTTTAACCATTTCACAAAATTGGATACACTGTTGACCCTCAGACATATGTGGTTTACAAATATAATAAATAAAGCTGATATTCAATGCTATTACATGCTCCACTACCAAGGTGGGTTGCATATCAGCTTGCAGTATATTTTTGGCATGGACTGAATGCCAGAACACTGTGAATGGGTTACTCAAAGCAGTCATATTACCACTTACATTTCTGCAGGCATTACTATTTTTTATATTGTTCAGCTTCAGAAAATTAATTCTCTAGATTATATAATTCATACTATAATTTGTTGATCTATTCTCTAACCTTTCATAAGAGAAATCTAAAGACTGGCTAAAGTGCATTTGCAAGACAAAAGTTATCATCTCACTCTCATCTGCTTAAGAGGAAAAAGCAATTACTGTTTGTAAGTTTTCATCCTTCTTCTGTTGAATGACTCACATAATATTGTCCAGGAGGTGCTGCTTGCTGCTGATAGG